GGAGCGGTGTCGGAGGGAAGTCGGGTTTACACCTGGCCCGTTCTCGCTTCAGTCCCTTGCTCCTGCTCTGCGTCAGCCCGTAGCAGTTCGGCTCAAGCCAGATCTTGTTTCCACTATTCCAGGCCTCTACGCCTCCTGGGTGTCTGCTGTCGAATCCAGCATCTCTACGCACCATGGAGTTGAGATTCCATCAGGCCCGCGTCGAGCAGAGGGGCCACGCTTCAAGGTGACCACCGTCAGGATGCCTGGCAAGGCGCGAGTTGCGGCGCTTAGAGACCAGGTCAGTGCATGGTGGACGCAACTACACTCACTTCTTTCAGGGCTACACTTGCATCGAGACAAGCGTAATGGACCACGACAGGTTGCTCAATATACGGCTGCCTGTGTACGGCATCTGGACACTCGGCCAGATGAAGCTCGGCGGGTTCTGCTAGCTGGGCGTGAACCACCGTGGGAGGAATGGGCGCGGATCACCCGCGCTGCAGGCGGGGTGACCGCCAAGGAGTTGGAGCAGTAAGTCTTCATGTCCAAGCGCGTCATGGGCAAAGCGCAGCGGCGTGCAGTCCAGGAGTCCATTCGCGTTTTCAGAGATTTGATGGGCACAGCTGAGTCTATAGGCACGCTGCATCGTTCCTTGGACCCACAGAATCTACCAGCACAAGAGCTAGAACACGAGGGGGAGGTACTCTACAACCCCAAGGACATTATCGACGTCAAAGCTCGAAGCTGGCACGATCTGCGGGCGCCTCATCAGATGGACGAGGAGCTAGTGCAGCATACCTTTCAGCAGGTACGAGAGGCAGCTCAGGACGATGTTCTACCGCCCATCTCGGTTGGGGGCATCAGAGCAGCCTTGCGGCAGATGCGCCCCCGAGCGGGGCTTGGCGTCGGCATGCTCTCCCCAGGGGACTTCGAGCGTCTCCCTGATTCGGCATTGCCGAGTTGGCGCTGCTGTTCGAGGCCTGCGAGTACCACCTCGTATGGCCCGCCCAGGTCCTCCTGATCGCAGGGCGCATGCTGCCCAAGAAGAGCACGGGCGACCGCATCATCGGGCTCGTCTCAACGATTGGCAGATTATGGAAATTGATCCGTGAGCCGTTGGTGCGCCAGTGGAGCAGCGACACGGAGGCGTCCTGGGACGCTGCAGCGCGAGGGAACTCCAGTTTGAGGGAAGCATTTGTGAGGGCCCTCCAGCAGGAAGTGCCACATCATCTGGGCATTGCTGTCGGAGAGGGCCTTGTTGACATTAAGTCGCTTTACGATTCCATTGAGTGGCCAGGGCTGGTGTTGTGTTCCCTCAACCTGTCCTTCCCACCGAGGATCCTCTACCTCGAGCTGCTGCAGTGCGCGGCAGCGCGCACAGTGAGCCAGCTCGGGGCCACATCGCGGGCTTTTCAGCCGACGCGAAGTGTGGTGCAGGGCCTCCGCTCAGGCACGAGATTCGGCAAGGCCATGACCCACTACGTGCTGTCAGCCACCACAGTCGCTCACCCCAGAGTGAGCCATCGGATCTGGATAGATGATCTTTCGCAAGGGACATGCGGGTCGAGGTCCGCAGTTAGGAGGCAGCTCGCATCGTGCATCACCGAGACCTGTCAAGAGCTACAGGCCAAGCAGCTCGCTGTCTCCCCGAAGTCCGTTGCCATTGGCTCACATTGTCAGGACGTCAAGTGGATCGCTGCACGAGTCAAGAGGGCAGGGTTTACCATCCTTCCCAAGCTCCCGGCAGCGTACCTGGGCGTCGACGTCGCTGGTGGAAGCAGACATGGGCGCTCGACCCGAGTCGTCCGCGAGGCCAAGCACAAGCGCATGAATGCCAAGGTGCGACGCTTCGCTTGGACGGCCAAGAAGTATCAAACGCGCGGGCGCCTCGAACGACAGGGCGCCCAAGCTGCTGGAGTGTATGGACACCAAGTCTACGGCACTTTCGGCAGCAAGATGACGGATATCCGACGACGATTGGGCTTCTCCCTGGCGGCCCCCACGAGGGGACGATGTCTGACCAGCCTACTCGCCCTGCGAGCTGGCGACGCAGACCCCGCCATCCAGATGCCCGCAGCCTGCTTGGACCAGTGGCTCACTACGTGGCGTGACCGACCCGAGCTCAGACCTGGAGTACGACAAGCATGGCGCCAAATTGTACAGCACCGTCGGTCTATCCCATAAGGCCAACGCTCTCGCCACGGGCGAGGACCTCCCACAGCTGTGGTACTACACCTACTGGAGGCAGGCTGGGGTGCGGATGAGCCTACGGCCTGGACCATACCACCACCCCATGAGGCAGCGGGTGACGACTGGAGGTTCGACGATACCATGTACACGGGCGACAAGGCCCTTGACTCGCACAGTGCCTTCCTTGAGGACTTCCGCGCCTCGCTCAGGCACCAGCTGTGGGTCAAGGCCAGCCGCCATTTTTGTGGAGCAGGCCTCGAGCGTGGAGTTGATGTTGCCTCGTACCGCGTGCTTTTGCAGCAACTGGCGGCTGTTCCTGAGCATGGGCATCGTCTGTCAGAGACCACGCTAGCTTGTGCCATAGGAGCTTCTTGGCCGATGCAACGGCGCAAAGATGAGATTGCTTAAATTCGACGGCAACGTTTTGTGCCCACGATGCGGCAGGAGCCAGAGACGGCCAAGCACAGCATCTGGCTGTGCGAGTGCAATCAAGGGAAGGCTGCATACGATGACTCACAGGACCTGCTACCGCAGGCCCTAGCGCAGATGGACATGGATGAGGGGTTTTGGCTCAGGGGCATGCTTCCCGCGGCCTGGACAGCTGTACCCCCGCCACAGGCTGTCGAATGCTGGACCCCTGAGGGATTCAACGCAGTCTCTGCAGGGTGCTGGGGTGAAGGCTCCATCAGCAGCCCTCTCCTCATCAGCGGCGACGCAAGTGGAGGGCCCGACAGTAGCAGCAACCTGTTCCGCCGCGTCGGGGTAGCCGTGGCCCTTTTTGCCTCGCTTGAGCCCTGCGTTGAGCTAATCGGCACGGTGCGCGGCCCCCTGTGTGGCCCTCGCCGAGTCGTGGCGAGGGGAGAGCTTCGGGCCCTGTTGCTCGCGGTCTGGCTCACCAGAGGTTTCAGTTTGTTCATTTCAGACTGCGAACCAGTAGTCAAAGGCTGGTTCGCGGGCCGCTATGATCGGCCCCAAGGTGATGACAAGGATTTGTGGGCGCAGTTAGGCCAGCTTCTCAAAGAGCGTGCAGGCGGAGCAGCGTCGATCACGGCTGATTTTACCCACTCCCACCTCACAGCCCAAGACATTGTGAGGGGTGTGGCGCCGAGGTGGAAGGTCACTAGCAATGCTGTAGTAGATGAGGTTGCTGGCCTCGCAGCAAAGGAGGCGCGGGTCCCGCAGGATGTGCGATCAAATGTTCTGTTGCACGAGCGCAGGGCTCGAATTGTACGCATGCGGAATTTGCGGGCCACCTTGGACGCCTGCGATGCCGAAGCTGAAAACAGAGTTGAGCCTCGTGGGAAAAAGGTCGCCCATGCCCCTTCGCCCCCCTCTGCTGCCTCTCTCTCCCTCTTCTCCACCGACCACTGCCTTGATGAGACAGGGCGCAGGTGTACTCGATGTGGGGGTTCGGCCACAAAGGCGCGGACCACTCTCTGGCGTCAGTCACCTTGTTTCGAGCCCCTGAACTATAACGGAGTGAGTTTCAACAAACCCCCCCAAGCCCTGTTGCATATAGCGGGGGGCTTTGTTGACTCCTCTCATCGGATGCAGTGGCACAGCGGATTGGAATTGTGGTATTGTGGCAGATGTGGATGCTATGGGCATCAATTGCTGGACGGGCTTGGCCGTCCTTGTCAGCGTCCCACTGCTAACAGGCTCGAATACCTTTCCAGGATTTCTCGTGGGCTCTGGCCAAAGGTTCTGAGCAAGACGGAGAAGGCCACCCGACGCGGAGGAGCGTCTCGAGGGTAGGCCCTTCGTCGCATTGCATGTAGCATGTCATTATTGTCACTGCTTGCTTTCCTGACTTACCCATACCCATCACTCCTCCTCCTCCTCCTCCTCCTCCTCCTCCTCCTCCTCCTCCTCCTCCTCCCTCCTCCTCCTCCTCCTCCTCCTCCATCCTCCTCCTCCTCCCCTCCTCCTCCTCCTCCTCCTCCTCCTCCTCCTCCTCCTCCTCCTCCTCCTCCTCTCCTCCTCCTCCTCCTCCTCCTCCTCCTCCTCCTCCTCCTCCTCCTCCTCCTCCTCCTCCTCCTCCTCCTCCTCCTCCTCCTCCTCCTCCTCCTCCTCCTCCTCCTCCTCCTCCTCCTCCTCCTCCTCCTCCTCCTCCTCCTCCTCCTCGAGACCAACCTTCAACCAGCCCGACCAGGTTTCGGGGTTGAGCACGGGGCGGGGGCACCGCACCACGCGGTGTTTTTGTTTCTCTTGCGCAGGCTGCCGAGCGCTCCAGGCGCTAGTGGCGTCAACGGGGGTGCTCTGGAGCCGAACCCCGAACCTGCTGCCATCGGGCCCCCTATCAGGGGCTCCGTCCTTGCCCTTGCCCTCGTCCTCCACCGCCGTGCCCTTGCCCGTGCCGCCTTACAGCCCAGGCCCACTGGCGACCTCCACCAGGGCTTCCGCGCGCTTGGCGCATAGCGCCTCCTCGTGGATCTCCCAGCTCTGGACGACGATCCAGTCACGCGAAGATCCAGCACTCTCGATGCCACGGCGCGCATCTTCGTGCAAATTCGCGTTCAGCTTCGCAGTCTTGGCCACGTTCTTCTCCACCTGTACCTATCCCCATCCAGGCTCTCACTCTCCTCCGAGTCCTCGTCCTTGAGCTCGCCCTCCGACTTAGCGTCCAGCTCGCACGAGGAGCACGACGACGGCGACGACGGCAACGACGGCGACAACGACGACGACGAAGGAGGAGGAGGAGCAGGAGGAGGAGGAGAAGGAGGAGCAAGAGGGAGGGAGGAGGAAGAGGGGAAGAGGAGGAGGAGGAGGAGGAGGAGGAGGGCGGAGTAGGAGGAGGACGCGGAGGCGAGAGGCGTGAGCAGGTCGTCCTCGGACTGGGTGGTCTGGGGCGCGTACCGCGCGGCGTTCTCCCCCGCGAACGGCACGCCCTTCACCAGGTTCGAGTTGTCGATCAGCGGCGCCGCGATCCGTTCGCTCGGGTCCGCGGTCGCAGTCAGCAGCACGTCCTTGGCGAGAGCAGGCTGCACCTGGCGCGAGAAGGGGATCGAGCAAGCTGGGGATAGACCGGCGCCTTCGTCGTCGCTGTCGTCGTCGTCGTCGCCGCCGCCGTCGTCGTCGTCGTCGTCGTCGCCCTTCAGGGTCGGCGGCACCGGCCGTGAGGCCTTCGCAAAAGTCGGGCAGTCGCCTCATAGCACGCGGTCGGGGCAGTCGTGGACAGCACGCGTCGGCGAGGACACGTCCGCGACGACACATATTTGCGCACACAACATCCACACTTGCATATGCGCCTACGCATGCGTTTACATGCGCGGATACCTCTACAGCTGCCCGCGGTAACACTCTTTCATATCCTTCTCCGTATATTGCTTATCTCCGCCTCCACACCTATCTGAGCGCATTCCTGTACCTGCACATTCGCCTGTATCACCGCGTATGTTTTTGCGTCTGAACCGCCACCTACTTCACACCTGCACCATCACCTAACAACTGGATCCACAAACAAAACCATCGACATACACGCCACGGACCACACGAGTATGCGTCTGCATGCGCACCTGTGTCTGCACCTGAATCTACATGTGAGACTGTATCGGCGACTGCACGTGCATGTAAATGCTCACATGGTTCGACAGAATATACGTACCTGGACAAATATACACCTGTCAACATGTACGCATCGACCTCGACACGTGCGACGACACCCGCATCCGCCTGCGAGCTCGAACCTCGAAGCCTGAGCCGCAACTGCATCCGCACTTGCGTCCAAGCCCGCGTGCGCATCCGCGTCTGGTGAACGCTTCTTTTATTCGGCGTCTCGACCCTGGGCGGAAGGGGGGGGGAGGGGGGGGGGGATCTGGCTCCGGACCTCTGCTCAGCGCGGCTGCTTGCGACAGCGCGTGCTGTGGGGAGACTCCGCCTGCCCGAACAGGCGCCAGAGACAGCTCCACCGGGGGGGGGGCTACTCTGTAAGAACGGTTTTTTGAAGGCAGATCTGCCTTCTTCAAAAAATGGTCTACTCTGTAAGAACGGTTTTTTGAAGGCAGATCTGCCTTCAATGTAAGAACGGTTTTTTGAAGGCAGATCTGCCTTCAAAAGAACGGTTTTTTGAAGGCAGATCTGCCTTCAAAAAACTGGTCTACTCTGTAAGAACGGTTTTTTGAAGGCAGATCTGCCTTCAAAAAACCGTTCTTATAGGGGGCGGGGGGCGAGGGCCCGCGCCGAGTCGGCAAACGAACGAGTAGAAAAACGCTCGCCTGGCTTCTCTCGCCGGCCCGCAGGGGCGCAGCGCGCGCGCGAAGGCCGCGGGCAGGCGCGCGGGCCCCTCCCCGCCTCCTCGCCTGCAGCCGCATACACGGAGCCTGCCCCCGCCGGCCCGCCCCACTCGCACGTGGCGTCGCCGCACTCCCCACTCTCACAGGGGAACGAAGGATGACTTTGGTGCTCCTCCTCGTCCTCCTCCTCCTCCTCCTCCTCCTCCTCCTCCTCCTCCTCCTCCTCCTCCTCCTCCTCCTCCTCCTCCTCCTCCTCATCGTCTTCTCTGTGCGTCCCAGGGAGAGGGGACTGATATAGGGGAGCAAGAATGTGGCATAAACAAAAACTCGGAGTTCCGCGCGGATTTCACGGATCGGCGCTGGAGCTCCCTGGCGACGCCTCCGGCGCCGCCCGCGGGCCAGGGAGGGGGGTCCAGCGCGAGGAATCCGCGCGGGCCTCGGAGTTTTCGTTTATGCCACTTTTTGTTCCCCTATCTCAGCCCATCCCCTCCCTGGGACGCACAGAGAAGACGACGACGAGGAGGAGGACGACGACGAAGACGAGGAGGACCAAAGATGCGGACGACGAGGAGGAGGAGGAGGAGGAGGAGGAGGAGGAGGAGGAGTACTAGTAGACGAGAGAAAACGCCATAAACTTTTAGCGCTCCGCGCGGATTTCTTGGATCTGCACCGAAGCCAATTGAGGCACGAAGGCGCGGGAGGACCCGAGGGGCGGAAACGAAGGAGGCCTGTCAAAACATGTAGTTCTTCACAGGCTTGCCAGAGCCGTGCAGCCACGTGGCGGGCTCTGGAAACCCTGAACCCAAAAACGGTGTCATCTCTTGGGGCCGCATCTTTGGCTTCCGCCGCCTTCCGCCAGCCTTCCTTTTACCAGCGCTACACCCTCGAACGGTCTGTTGGATGTCTTGCGGTGGGCCCACGCAAAAACAACCGAAGAACGGCGCAGCCTCCTTCGCTGCGCTGAGCGAGTAGGCCTAGGGCCAGAGGAGCGGGCACGGATGCAGGACACTATGGTCCCGCGCTCGAGCACCCCCTCCTCCGAGGGGATGGCACAACGAGAGCGGCCGCCAAGATACCCTCTAGCGGACTTCCTTTAAAAAAAAAAAAAAACACTGCGCCCAGGAGCCTTCAGGAAAGGACGCTTCGTGAGGGGCCTAGATGAAAAACTACCGATATCGGCGCATTCGAGATCCTATATCACGAACGATGGGCCCACGACGGGTGCGCGCGCAACACGAGCGGATGGGTCTCCGCCCCACTAGCGGACTTCCGTCGGCTTCCGCCGGCGGAGGTAGCCTCATCTGACGTCCGCCTTTTTCCGCCGACCTTCGGCCGCCTTCCGCCCAGGAAGAGACGCCAACTCGTTCGATTCTCGAAAGCGAGGCACTTTCTGAGACGCCTCACGTGGAGCCCACTAATAAACAACACACAAAAACAAAGCAAAGCACACACACACACACAAACACACACTCGCCCCCCCAAAAAAAACAGAAAAGACTGCATAAGTCCAGCCCGCCCGCGGCAGCGTAACCAGGACAGCCGCTCCTCCTCCGGCCCCCCGCGGCCTGCTGGCTCAGGAGCGCGGCAACCACGGCGGCGCCGGCAGCGGCGCGCTGGGCCTACGCAAGCCTCCTCCTCCTCCACCTCCTCCTCCTCCTCCTCCTCCTCCAAATCAATACTCATCCACCTCCTCCTCCGCCTGCTCCAAATCAATACTCATCCACCTCCTCCTCCCCTCCTCCTCCTCCTCCTCCTCCTCCTCCTCTTCCTCGGCCTCCTCCTCTCCTCCCTCCTCCTCCTCCTCCTCCTCCTCTCCTCCTCCTCCTCCTCCTCCTCCTCCTCCTCCTCATCATCATCATCATCATCATCATCATCATCATCATCATCATCATCATCATCATCATCATCATCATCATCATCATCATCATCATCATCATCATCATCATCACCATCGTCAGCATCAGAATAATCATCATCATCATCATCAGCAGCATCATCATCACCATCATCACCAGCATCATCAGCATCATCATAGCATGATCAATATCATCATCATCCTCATGATCATCACCATCATAGCATCATCACCATCATGATCGTCATCATCAACATAATCATGATCATCAGCATCACGATCATCAGCAGCATCATCATCAGCATCAGCATCATCATCATCATCAGCATCATCATCACCAGCACCATCAACATCAACATCAACATCATCAGCATCATCAGCATCATCTCATCGTCAGAATCATCATCATCCTCATCAGCATCAGTGGCATCATCATCGCTATCGCCATCGTCATCGTCAGCATCAACATCATCGTCATCCTAATCCCCGACATGTCCTCCCAAATTCCGCCCGCATCCTCATAAGACTCCTCCCACTCAATCTCCCCTTCTCTTCATCCTTCTACTCCTCTCAATCTCTGTGTCCTCCATCATCTCACCAAAGCTGCTCGCTGCTCCGTCATCCCTCCTCCTCCTCATCATCATCACCATCCTCAGAATCATCAGAACCATCAGTATCACCACCCTCATCCGGAGCCACAACAACACCAATACTAGCATCGTCATCATCCTAGTTATAGCAGCATCATCATCATCGACATCATAATCATCATCATCGTCATCATCAGCATCATCAGCATCATCAACATCAGCATCATCAACAGCAGCGTCAGCAGCATCAGCTGAATCAGCATAATCATCAAAAACGTCGTCCACGTCGTCAATATCCTCATCGGCATCAATGTATCCCTTGTCGTCATCGCGATCGTTGTCGACACCGCAGCAATAATCAGCATTACCATGATCGGCATCATCATGACCAGAACCACCACAACAACAGTCAGCATCATAATCATCATCATCCTCATCATCATCATCATCATCATCATCATCGTCATCATCAGCATCATCATCATCAACATCATCACCTTTTTATCATCATCATCAGCATCATTATTTCCAGCATGACTATCAACCTCATCATCATCATAATCAGCATCATCATCACCACCGTCATCCTCACAATCGCCGTCGTCAGAAACAGATAACCCCTAACCGTGGGCCGGAGACGCTCGCAGTAAGCCTGGAAACCCTTCGCCAGGCAACCTGCGCCTGGGTTCCTTTGGCCAAGAACGTAGGCTTGGTTCCCTAGAGCCACCAATGTGGGCATGGTTTCCTAGGTCAGCTCACCAACGTGGGCCTGGGTTTCTAAGTTCACCCTGGCAGGTGGGCCTTAGTGTCCTAGGGCCACCAACGTAGGCTTGGTTCCCTACGGTCCGCCCACCAACGTGGGCATGGGTTCCTAGGACAGCTCACCAACGTGGGCTTCAGTTCCTAGGTTCACCCAGGCAGATGGGCCTTGGTTTCCTAGGGCCACCAGAGCAGGCTTGGCTCCCTAGGGTTAGCCCACCAACGTGGGTTTGGGTTCCTAGGTCAGCTCACCAACGTGGGCCTCGGTTCCTAGGTTCACCCAGGCAGGTGGGCTTTGGTTTCCTACGTTCACCCAGCCAGATGGCGCCGAGTTTTCTAGGTTCACCCAAGCAGGTGGCGGTGAGTTTCCTAGGCCCGGCCACCAACGTAGCGCTGGGTTCCCTCGCCCGCGAAGCCTGAAAGCGGCGGCCCAGGCCGGGCCCGGGGTTCCAGCTCCGGACTCTGAGCTTCAGGGCCCGCCCCGGCTCCGTGCTCAAAGTGCTGTTTGCGCGTTTGGTGCAAACTGTGTGCAGCTTTGTGGTGCTCAAAATTGTTGTTTCCAGCGCTTCAATGCTCAAAATGCTGTTTGCAATGTTTTGGTGCTCCAAACTGCTGTTTGCAGCGTTTTGGTGCTCAAAGTGCCTGAGAGCCTGGCTCCGGCTTCGTGCTCAAATTGCGTTTTTCAGCGTCTCGGTGCTCAAAATTGCTGTTTGCAGCGCTTCGGTGCTCAAAATGCTTCAGAGCACGGCCCCGGCTCCGTGCTCAAATTGCTATTTGCAGCGTTTTGGTGTTCAAAGATGCTTTTTCCAGCGTTTCAGTGCTCCAAACGCTTCAGGCTCCGGCCCGTGTTCAAATTGCTGTTTGCAGCTTTCAATATTGAAATTGCTGTTTGCAGCGTTTCCGTGCTCCAAATGCTTCAGGGCCCGGCTCTGGCTCCATGCTCAAAATGCTGTTTGCAACGTCTTGGTGTTCAAAATTGCTGTTTGCAGCGTTTTGGTGCTCAAAATGCTTTAGGGCCCCGGCTCCGGCTCCGTGCTCAAATTGCTGCTTGCAGCGTTTCGGTACTCAAAATTGTTGTTTGCGACGTTTCGGTGCTCAAAATGCTTCAGGGCCCGGCTCCAATTCTGTGCTCAAATTGCTGTTTGAGGAGTTCTGGTGCGTTAAATTGCTGTTTGCAGCGTTTCGGTACTCCAAATTCTTCAGGGCCCGGCTCCGGCTCCGTGCTCAAATTGCTGTTTGCAGCGCTTCGGTGCTGCAAATTCTTCGTTTGCAACGTTCCCTCAGATCCCGGGCCCAGCTCTGGAACAGCCTCCGGGCCCGGGCTCCGGGCCTCAGGCCCCGCCTTCGGACCGGTCTCCGGGCTCCGAATGGTTTAAGATAGGGGGAGTTAGGGGATAGAGTGGTTTAAGATAGGCGGAAGTTAATTTTCAAAAAAACAAACCAAAAAACATGAAAAGCTACCTTCCACAACTTCAACCGAACTTCCACAACTTCAACACAACTACCAAAACTTAACTGTGGACACCTCAGCAGGCCCCGCCTTCGGACCGGGTTCCCGGCTCCGAGCCCCGGGCCTGAGCTCCGGGCCTCGGGCCCCGGGCCTGGGCCGCGCTACGGCCTCAGGCCCTGGGTCCGGGCCGGGCTCTGGGTTCCGGGCCCCAGGCTCTGGCCCCGGCGCCCTCTTGCGTGCCCGGCAGGCGCACGGGCACGCTCTGCCGCCACTCGGATAGTGCATATGCGCGTCCTCACGTAGGACGGCGTTGTGTTCACCCCCCCCATGAGTGGGGGCGAGGGGTGGAGAACTCTCTGTGTCCCTAAACCTTAAGAAAAAACATTAGCGGGGGTGGATTGGGGCGGGAGATCGAGCAGCGCGAGCGCGCACACTGCATCCCACCCCCAACAATCTTGATGTGGGGGTGGGGTGCGCGCGCCCACGCCGCGAAGCGGGCAACACCCCAAACCCTAAATCTCTAATCCTATAATTACTAAATCCTGAATCCTCCAAAACCGGTCCGTATGCAACCCGGCTCCATCTACTGTAAAAAATAGCATGTCCTGAGCATGCGTGCAGAATTGACTGTATTTCACACTACAAAGTGCCCGGTCCCCGTTGCGAGCGCGGTTCATCTACTGCAAAAAATAGCATTGCCTGAGCATGCGTGCAGAATCTCTTGTATTTTACACTACAAAGTACCCGGTCCCCGTTGCGAGCCCCTTATGTAAACCCGGTCTATCTATTACAAAAAATAACATTTGCTGAGTATGCGTGCAGAATCTCTTGTATCTTACACTACAAAGTGCCCAGCCCCCGTTGCGAGCAGATAAGTATTTGCCAAAAATAGCATTTGCTGCGCATGCTTGCAGAAGCTCCTTCGCCCGACCTGACCAGTCCTGTTCGTTTTGCTTGGCCGACCCGTCCCGTCCGTTTGGGTATTCGCATGCCAACATCCGACCCGATCCGTCGCGCTCGTTAAGGGCCGTCTGTCCGAACCGTTTCGCTTGTATGGGGCACACGGGTGCTGAAGTTTAACAGTTCTTTCGGGTGTGTCTCGACTGCCAGCTACCTCCCAACTTCTCTCCGCCGCATCGTTTGTCCTCTTTTATGTTTTTCTTGTCAATGCTTTTCTGTGCACACATGTGCGCGTCGTACTTTACTGTTCCTTGCCTTCGGCCCATCCCGCCATTATGCTACAGCATGGCATAGCAAGGCATGGGTATTCCAAGAGTGGGGACTCTATGTGCGCTGTTTTTTACTGTTACTTGTCCCAGGGCAAGTAACAGGAAAACTCGCCGCGCACATAAGGGTGTCCACTTTTTGGGGACCCATGGTGAACGCGCACATAGGGGTCCCGACGGTTTGCGGACCCATGAATAGATATGGCATGCTATAACATTGGCGGGATAGGCCCAGGGTGTATTTAATGATAAACAGAACATAGGGGTCTCTACATTTCGGAGCCCATGTTATGTTATGACATGCTATAACACAGTAGCGGGATAGGCCCAGGGCAAGTAACGGGAAAAGACGACGCGCACATAGAGGCCTCACTTTTGGTGGCCCAAGCTGTGCTATGAGAGCTGTAGCAAAGTCGTGGGATTCGATGTGGTTCTCACGAGGGGAGAGATGAGTTTGGGTGGCTTGCGGGTGGGAGTGACGGCCACCGCAGGTGGGTTCGCGGTCAAGGTGTAATCGTGGCCAAGCCTAGTAGACCCTAAACCCTAAACCCTGGCGTGGCCCCTGGCGGCTCCCCGCGTGCCCCTCCCAGCTCCCCATGTCGGCCCGCTTGACGTTCGGAGCCAAGGGGGCCCCAAGGCGGGCCACGATGGTCCCAAGAGGGCCCGCGAGACGGTCCACAAGAGGGCCCCCAAGACGGCCCAAGACGGTCCAAGAGGCGAAAATGGTCAGATTCCCAGG